AAGAAGAAAAGAAATGAAAAGGTGACATGATAGCAATGTTCCAATATCTAAGGCATTGCCATAAAGAAGAGGGAGTCAACCTATTCTCCAAAGCACCTGAAGGCAGAACAAGAAGCAGTATATGGGAAATAATCAAGGAGAGAACCAAACTAGAACTAAGGAGAAATTTCCTGACAGTTAGAACAATTAATCAGTGGAACGAGTTGCCTCCAGAAGTTGTGGGTGCTCCAACACTGCAGGTTTTTAAGAAGAGATTTAGACAACCATTTTTATGGGGTTAGACTAGAAGACCTCCAAGATCCCTTCCAACTCTGTTATTCTGTTAAAACAAGGCAGGAAGTGAACCTGAAGTTGAATCAAATCTTGGATTAATGTTTGCCCTTATTTCTGTAGTTGATATTAACATGCTTTGCCTCCTTCTCCCTAAGTACGCTTCATTACATATTTTTATGGGGAGTTACTTATGTATAAGATACCATGAAGTCTGCCTACGAATTATCATGCATGTAATTTCCTTGCATGCATACTATGGAAAAGCTATTTAGAAACATGCTTTGTTTTCTGCCTTTGTAGCAGTAGATAAGGTAGCACTACTGATGGGAAACATGAGCTACTATAACCATCCCAGGCTCAAGGCTCCGTTAGTGGATGTTTATGAGCTGACCAACTTGCTGAGGCAGATGGACTTTAAAGTGGTCTCCTTGCTGGATCTGACCGAGCCTGAGATGCGGAATGCAGTGGATGAATTCTTGCTGCTCCTGGACAAAGGTGTCTACGGTAAGAATGTGTGATCTGGTGGCCAAATAAGATGAGCTTGATATTTTGCCAGAATGTATCTTCCATGGTTACCTTATTTGGTTGAATTTGGATTTCTGCAATGAGGAGGGAATTGGACTGGATAGCATAAATAGCCTTTTTCTAGCACTGTGATTCTCTGATTCTAATAAAGTAAACAAATAATCTTGTTTTATAAAATATATAAGAAATGTATATTACATTGGTTTAGTGGTAGACATCTACCACAGGTGGTCCTTGACTTACAACCATAATGGAGCCCAGAAGTCATGATGTTGTAAGTCAAGCACTCATGTGATCAGACTCAATTCTATGACCTTTTTATGGCAGTGATTAAGTTAATGCCACAGTTGTTAAGTGAATAAAGTGGTTGTTAACCAAATGTGGCAGTGGTTAATCAAATCAATGTATTCCTAGGGGTGTTTTTTGGCGAGAAACCAACCAAAGATGTCATAAATCACAGTCATATGGGCACGGAATGGTGCAACCAGTTGTTTGGGTCAGTTGCTAAACACCCGAAATGAAGTCATGTGACCATGGGGTTGTGGGTAGCCATTGGAACTCAGGAACCAGGTTGCCAGTAGCATTTGGGAGGGTCTGTCACAACAATTGTCAAGTGACTGATTGTTAAGTGAGGTCTACCTGTGTATAGTAGGTAAAACTGCCATCCTGATTAAATTGGCACTGAATGTGGCTGAAGTTCAGCATGTGAAGCTTCCATTCACCAAGTGGTGGGCAAGCCTCTTATTACATATACCAGGAATATTTCATATTGTTGTCCAAAATTTATAACAAGGATGTGTCCCGGGCCTCCCTCTAGGCAGAAATGCAGTCTGTGGCTACCTTCTCTGTAACAGATGATAGGCCTAATCTGTGTCTCCGTTTGGTTTATAAATTGTGAATGAAAGTGAATATACGTGTTCCGGGATAATATTGCGGGATCCAACATTATGGGTCGGTCACCAGGACCAGAGGTTTAGTCTTCCGAGCTTTCAGACTTGTGCTGCAGTCCATCATCAGGAAACTTCTCGAGTCCAAAAGCTTGGAAGACTAAACCTCAGTGACTGACCCAGATTGGATCCTGGTTTATAGTTTTTTCCTGACCTGACCCTTTTTTTTATGAGCCTGTCTCTTAACTTTTAATCGTAATAGCATCAATGGTTTGTTATTGTTTGCTTTCTAAAAGAAGTAACGTTATCTTCAATTCGCATTTTACTGTTTGCAAAGTCCTACTTTATGTTAATTTTATGTGATGGTCTGGCCGTTACATTTTGTTAGAATCCTTTCAGGGTAATCTGAAGCCCTCAAGAGTCTTTCAGTCAGTGTTAACTTTTTTTGATAATTTCCAGAGTAGATCTGCTTCATTGGATGGCTCCATGTCTATGTTCACTGAATTTCAAATAGATCTTTAGATCTTGTCATGATGCTTGCTGTTCATCCTAAGTAACTATGCTTGGGTACTGAATTTTAAACAGATTCATGCTTAGATTTTAAATAATGCTACTAGGAAGTACCTAAGAAGTGGCCTTAAAATGTGATAATGCCGTTCAATATATTTATCGGTTATAAAATTTGGAATGCCCATTTACAAATTTAACGAACGAATAGGACAAATAAATTTTGATTTGACTTTATCTTCCCACCATTGCGGTCTAGTGTTTAAGACCGTTTCCAAGTTGGAATGCAGCCTTCAGGCTGTAAATTTTTCCCCCATTCATTTTGTGTATACCTGTTTAATCAAGCATGGTCTGTTCTGCCAAATGCATCCCTCTCACATGTCTTTTTTGCCACGCTCAATCTTTTAAATGAAGAGGCTGTGGGCTACAATCTCTCAAATTATTGATACTCCTCTTACAAATATTACTTTTTCAAACTGTTTGAAAAATGCACGTCTCTGAAATCTCACCAGTATTTTATTTTTCGTAGTTGTCATTACAAGTACTTCACCAGGGAGGATAGGAAGAGCCCAGCGCCTGATAGTACATAAATATAATCACATATTAGTTCGAGTTGGACGTGTCTTTGCAATAGATGCTAGCACACAATGTGAAGTTGTTATATATGCAGTCATTGATCAGAAGCTTTATGCTTGACTCACTTAGTTCCTCCTGATCTGACATTCAGAATGCCTTTCACTTTTCATCTTGCTGAGCCAACAATCGCTCTGACAGGAAAATTTATTGTAATAGCACTCACAGACTTTCAGACCACCACATTCTTTGACAATCCTTTTTAGCAGTGGCTTGTCAGGAACATTCAGATCACTTGAGTCTATCGATGTGATGTTGCAGTTGCTTCCTGATCAGGCTCAGGCATGCTTGTATCATTAACATTGTGCTCTTGGTTTTTATTTACTTATTTTTAAATCGAATTTGTATAGCCGCCCAACTCGCACGTAGGTAACCCCAGACAGCTTACAAAATTTAGAAAATCCACCGTATAATAAAACTGATTTTTAAAAAACCCTCCCACCCTTGGCAGCAACAACACAATCAAATCAGCCACTTGATTGGATCCATCTCCGTTCGTGGGCCCCAGGCCCATTGACAAAGCTATATTTTTAGAGGCTTTCAGAAAAGCAATAGGATGGGGGCCAACCATAGCTAGGGGGAATGATATTCCATAAAGAAGGAACCACCACTGAGAAGGCCCTTTTTCGTGGCGTCACTAGATGGCAGTCCCTAATCAGTGAAACTCATAGCATACCTTGCCTTCCTCCTGATGGGCCAGGTAAATGTAAGAAAATATTTTAATCTTGTAATCAAGAGTTTTTGAAAGTTCTAGGTCACAACCTATGAAAATCCAAACACGGCAGAAAGAAAACCACATTGTTATCATGGACTCTTCAGAATCCATATCATGATATTATCTAGAGATTATTTAACAAAAAAAAATGTTTTGCATAGCCTGATATTAAGTAAACTTCTCCAACACCCACCAAATTTTATATAGTTTATAGCTAAAGATATTTTTTTTAAAGCCTCAGTAGCTTTCCCTTCCATTTATTCAAGTTACATTGTGCAGGAAAATTTAAAGACTCAATACCACTTCCTTTAGAGAAGCGTTTTTGTCAAAATAAGCTTGACTCCTGGGCACTTAACAGATATTTGTAGCAGATTTCTTGGCCGCAGTACGGAAGTGGTTTGCTTGTGCATTATATTTTTCTTGTTTAATTGAGTGAACATTCCTTGCACTCTGAAAGGAATCAAGGGAAGATGGTGTTAGAGCAACCAGGGGTAGTGATATCTGGGTATTATGAGCACTGAGGTTCAATACAAAACATCTTTAAACTGATGCAACGCTATGTTGGGTTGAGAAGGCTGCATTAAAGCACAACATCCTTTACAATCAGCTGAAGTAGGTCCTTATCCTAACCCAGTGGTGGCGAACCTATGGCACGGGTGCCAGAGGTGGCACTCAGAGCCCTCTCTGTGGGCACACATGTCATTGCCCCAGTCCTAGGCCTTCAGCTGGGTTTTATAAAACCTTTTCGCTTTAGGCCTCCGCCGCCGTGTGCAAAAAAAAAAAAGGTTCAATCAGTCAATTTCAACTTCTCGCGGGAAAAAAAAGATCTTGCAAAGTTGGAATTGATTGATTGAACTTTTTAGTCCCACCCAGTCTGCCCGTTACCACTGTGGCCACGCCCACCCAATGGGCCACACCCAGCCAATGGGCCACACCCACCCGGCACTCAACGATGCATAAGTGGGTTTTGGGTTGCAGTTTGGGCACTCGGTCTCTAAAAGGTTCGCCATCACTGTCCTAACCTCTCAACCTAGATTCCTTGTTTGTTTAGCAGTGAAATTAAATGAATAGGGTCGCTTAGCCATCTTGCTTAGTACAATTGTTAAATGTGTTTTGGTTTTTCCCCTCCCAGGTCTATTATATTATGCTGGGCATGGCTATGAAAATTATGGTAATAGTTTTATGGTTCCTATTGATGCTCCAAATCCTTATCGAGCTGCAAACTGTCTGTGTGTACAAAACATCCTCAAACTGATGCAAGAAAAGGATACTGGCCTCAATGTCTTTTTACTGGATATGTGCAGAAAACGGTATGATATTGTTTTCCTCACTTAAGAATTCAATCCTGATCATCCAGGGCCCAAGATACATAGCTATATGGATTCTACAGAAAGAAACATGTTAAATCGGCTAGCTAAATACGTGTTTCACAATTTTCCAGTTCTTGGGAAATTATTTTTTTAAAACTTGGTTTTCAGAACAATGTCAGTAATGATCAAGTGAAATGGGGAGCACCTGAGCTAAATTTCAAGTGTTGCTGCAAAGGGTCTGAATACTTATGCCAATGTGATATTTCAGTTTTTTCTTTTTAATAAATTTATAAACCTTTATAAATAAATTTATAAACATTTCTAAAATTCTGTTTTCACTTTGTCATTATGGGCTACTGAATGTAGATTAATGAGAACAAAAATTAGTTTCAACAACTGTAGAATCAGGCTGCAGCATAACACAACTGACAAAAGTTAGGAGGGTCTGAATACTTTCTGAATGGATTGTATGTTTCATTATGTGATTACCCAATATTGTAAATCTCTTTTCTTCACTGGCTCAAAGAGATTTTTGGGTCCTTGTTGTATATGAACATCCAAAGAAATGAAATGGTTTGAAAGACTGAATTTCAGATTCCAGTTCTGTTCTTTAGGACTTCTCTCCTTTAATTAAAAAGCAACATGGATTGTTTACCAAGCTGATGGAAGCACTTCACACTTCTGCTTAAGTATCCATTGGCAGATTCTTCCAAGGGAGAGAAAGAAAAAGATTTAGAAATTAATAATAATACACATGGGTCATAAAAACATTAATTGTTCTATTCTTGTTTGACTGTTCTATTCCAATTCAGTGTTTTTTTGATCATTTTTATTCTTATGTTTATTGAAGGAATGAATATGACAATACCGTTCTCATCTTGGATGCTCTGAAGGTTACAGCTAACATAGTTTTTGGATATGCCACGTAAGAATAGCTATTAAAGTATTTATCTTTTTAAAATATGGTAACTTATTTCAATTTCTAACTAATAATAATCTGAGTTATCTTTGTTTTTTAAAGTGGGTATTACATGAATAAAATTCTGCTTGGGGCTTTAGCAAAGCTTTATAATATGTATGTTAGAAGTTAAAATCTGTTTTTATTCATGATCATTATTTAAACTGTGAATGGGCATCAAGAGAGTTTTTTCGTTCCTCTGTCACTGAGTCATGAACATGACTTTCAATATTATAAAATATTGAAATATTAAACTTATAAATGTCTCATCTCTTCCTTGCCACAGAAGAAAAGTAAAGAAATAACTGAGCTGTACTTGTTGATCTGAATATTAGCATCTTCTTAGCCATTTAATAAAAAACTTGCTTTTAAAGGTAGGATGAGGAGATAAAGCATTCAGTTCAGTTTGAGACATCTCACTTACCTACATTGTTTTATCACTGTGTTGAAGAAAAGAACATATTAAGTCTCAGACTATGTTGAGAAATTCTAAACAACAGCTATTCTTCTTTGATGGAAGAAAAATGGAGGGAGATTTCTTAAGGCCACATAATGTATCCATGACAGAGATCGGCTTGAATCCAGATGAGATTCTGTTTGTGGAAATTATTGGTTTTCAGAACTTGGAGGACTCTTTTTTTCAGACTTGGCATCTATGCCCTCTGACACCATGGCTACTCATTTGTCAGTATGTTTGTGGGAAGGATTCACTATTGACCTAGGATCCATTCATCCATCAATCCAATCTCAGGAAGAAATACTATTATGTGCAGATAGATTTTTGTAGAGACTATTTCCCCGTATGTCAAATGGTCACTGTGAAGAATGAAGCTGGCCTGCACAGTCAGTCCATCAGTTTGTCCATCCTTCCATCCATCCAGGCCAAGCCAAGCCACGCCAAGCCAGCCATCCAATCCAATCCAATCCAATCCATCCATCTTTCCATCAATCCAGCCCAATCCAATCCAGTTCATCCCTCCATCCATTGAAAGAGTCAATTAGATGGCCTGTGGCTTGTTGACATACTAAATTATTTTCTATCTATCTGATCAACGTGAACAATTAGAAATATTCCTGCTGCACTATCTGAAACAACGCTAGCTCAGAAGTTTAACATTGTAGTTTAGATGCTGCATGATAAAGATGCCTCTCCATCTATGGTGGTAACATCCTGTCAATATATTGTTAAGGTGTCAAGGGGCAGAAGCGTTTGAAATTCAGCAGTCTGAATTGGCCAATGGAATTTTCATGAAGTTTTTGAAGGAACGCTTATTAGAGGACAAGAAAATTACTGTGCTGCTGGATGGTGTAGCAGAAGGTGAGAAAAACCTACCAGAAATAAAGAGAGATATTTATGGATTAATTGAATAATAGTCCTTCCTTAACAAGTACTTATTCAGTGACAATTTAAAGATATGACAGTCCTGCACTAGAAGTTATGACCTGTTCTCATTATTGCAGCTGCTGCAGTGGTCTTATCATGATTGAGGTGTTTGGCAACTGGATTGCAATTATGACATCACAGCATCCCGCGGCCACATGATTGCCATTTGCAAACTTCACTGCTGGCTTCGGACATGCAGTCAATGGGGAATCTGATAGAAAGTTATAAATAGTTATCATACAACATGTTTAACAACCATATGAGATTCACCCAATCACAATCAGAAGTACCAAAAATGCCACTGTAATTTGGTGCAGTCATGTGACATCATTCTTAGTGACTGAGTTGCCTGTCCCAATTACCATCGTTAAGTGAGGACTACCCATGTTTTATATACTCTACTTAGAAGGAAAATTCTAAGCAAGGCTTTATTGGAGAAAGGTATTGTGGACCAGAAACATAACCATTAATGACGTACAAGAATGCACTCTAGAAAATTACCCTATATTTAGGTTTTGATCAATTCTTTCCTATATCTGACTCACTAATTACAATTGTCACCCATACAAGCAATTCTTTTGCATAGCCTAACTTGGTGTTTCATTTGGTTCTACACCAAAAGACTATTGTGTGAAAAGCTAGGGAATCAGCAGGTATATCTTATTTATATAAGCTTACTTTTTTCCCTTATCAACCTGGATGGGTTTTTTTTTCCCCTCCAAATTGTCCCTCAAATAGATTTTTTGCCATATTGGAATACAGATACATATTTTAAACATGCATCTGGAAGTCCGTGAGAAAAACTGCCTGAGGAAATGGGGTAATTTCAGTGGAAACGTTGGTGGTGATGAAAGAATTAGTGAAGATTGCATCTGTCATTTTCCTATTCAAAATCATCCCTTTTTGCAGCTTTTGTAAAGAAAAATGAAGCCTGTCTAAGAATTTGCTGCTAGCATTATGAAAAATGTTTAATGTGCCTTCATTTGTTCGAAGCTGATTTGGGGGGTAGGGGGAGCAGAGTAAGAGAGGAGTGGAGAAGGAAATACCTCTTCTCTTTGCTCTTTTACGTAGATTTTGCAGCTAGCCACAACTATTGTTTATGGCCTGCTGCTAGTTTGGTGCCATTTCTTTTATTAGAACTAATTTCTCTGATAAATCTCAGAAAATCAAAGAGTTAAGTACTAAGTGTATAGGTATTAGGTAGGGAATTAAATAGGGAAGCTATGCAGCGGTCAGTTATTCCTTTGATAGTCGATTTCCTGGGAACTCCAAGCCTGCCTACTAAACAGAGAATAGAAAAAGGATACCAGGACAAGGCAACATGGCACATCCACAAACACGGTCGTCAAAAATGCTCAGTTCAGTGTTTACCTTTATAAAGAGGAAAGCCGCCTTCATCTCATACCCCAGTCCTAGAAAACTCCTGCCATTCAGAATGGAATGGAATAGGAATAGGAATAGAAATAGGAATAGGAATAGGATGGGAATAGGATAGGAATGGAATAGGAATAGGATAGGAATAGGATAGAATTAGGAATAGGAATAGGAATAGAAATAGAATAGGAATAGGATGGGAATAGGATTAGGATTAGAATAGAATAGAATAGAATAGAATAGAATAGAATAGAATAGAATAGAATAGAATAGAATAGAAAATGGAATAGAATAGAAAATGGAATAGAATAGAATAGAACAGAACAGGAACAGGAATAGGAATAGAATTAGGAATAAAATAGGAATAGAAATAGAATGGGAATAGGATAGGAATCGGAATAAAATTAGAAATAGGAATAGAATGGAATGGAAATAGGAATAGAATAGAAATAGGAATAGAATGGAATGGAATAGCATGGAATGGAATAGCATAGAATAGAAGAATAGAATAGAATAGAATAGAATAGAAATAGAAATAGAAATAGAAATAAAAATAGAAATAGACTAGGAATAGAATAGAAGTAGGAATAGAAATAGGAATAGAATTAGGAATAGGAATAGAATAGAAATAGAATAAAAATAGAATAGAATAGAGAAGAGAAAAGAAAAAGAAAAGAGCCAGCCCTAAGTAGACAAAATGGCAATGAAGCTCAGCTGAGGATCCTTGATACTTTCTGAGCTTGGTTGTTTCCTTGCAGACATTTCATTATCCAAACTAGGTAACATCATCAGCAACATAAAGATGTTATCTAGTTTGAGTAATGAAATATCTGCAAAAAAAAACAACCAAGCTCAGAGAGCACCAAGGACCCCTCATTTCAACCCTGAGCTACCAATATTCTTCTTTATAAGCTCAGCTGAGTCCACAGCCTGGCTGAATCCAAACCCCACCGGGTGGGATCTCTCTGTCTCTTTCTTTCTTAGCTTAACAACTGTCTTGCTTAGCAGCAGAAATTTTGGGCTTAATTGTGGTCGTAAGTCGAGGACTACCTTCATGTCTAGCTCTCTTCTGACCTTCAAGAAAAAGTTGGAAACTTTTGTATTCTGGGACTATCATCTATTGTACTGTCAGGTTTAAATTGTATGAACTGAGGCAACTGGGATACCTGTTTTATATTGTTTCATTATAATGTGTAATTACCTAGAATCTTAAGGTTGGCAGTATAGAAATTATTGCACCAAACGAATATTTTCATAGGGAAGAAACAGCATGATCATTATTAATCAGAATGAGCTTGTGGTTTATTTTTTATTTTTAGATATGGGAAAGTGTCATCTTACCAAAGGCAAGCAAGCTTTGGAGATTCGCAGCAGCTTATCTGAGAAGAGAGCGTTAACTGATCCTATTCAGCAAACTGTAACCTCAGCAGAAGCCCTGGCACGCAATCTACAGTGGGCGAAAGCACATGGTACAGTAAATGTGAAAATAACCACTTCTGCTTATCCACGAAGGACAGCTGGGTGACCTTGGGCCATTTACTCTCTCTCAGTCCAACTCACCTCACAGGGCTGTTGTTCTGGGGGAAATAAGAGCAAGAGCAAACTGTTTATTAGATAAGTTTGCTGCCTTGAGTTACCTGTAAAAGCAGAAAATTAAGTAAATAAATCTGCAGCCCCTTCATGGCCCAGAAATATGTACTTAAGAAATTAGGTTATTTGTTTTGAATGAATCAGCTTCTGAACTATGCAGAAGTGAGAAGAGGTAGAGGGTAAGAGCAAAGGAAATGAAATATAGAGGGAAATGCCATTATTTCCTTGCTTAATTTACTTTGCCAATATTACCCCATAACTCAGGAGCTGGCAATTGTTTTATTGCCCCCCAATTGTTTATTGCCTCCAGAAACATTGTCTTTGGTAGTACCCAATCCTGCCCCATTTACACTTCTGAATTGTGATGGAAAAACTACAACAGGTATAGCTTTAAAAAAGATAAAAAATAATCCACACCTCTGGAATACTTTTTATTTACAGGAAGTCCTTGCCTTAAGGCCACAATGGAGCCTGCTCCTTATAGTTGTAAGTTATCATGGTCATAAAACAGGTTACCCATGTGACCTACCTTATCTATGACTTTTTTTTTACAGAGGTCATTAAGCAGATCACCACAATTAACAGAATAACAGAGTTGGAGGGGACATTGGAGGTCTTCTAGTCCAGCCCCCTGCTCAAGCAGGAAACCCTACACCATTTCAGACAGATGGTTGTCCAACTTCTTCTTAAAAACCTCCAGTGTTGGAACACTCATAACTTCTGGAGTCAAGTTGTTAATCAAAACCATTATTTGCTATGGGGCATTTTGCCAAAACCCGGAATTAATTGCCAATTTTCAACAAAAATGTAAATCATGATTACTTCACTGCAGTATGCTGCAGTCGGCCCTAAATGTGGTCATGTGGCTGCATGGGGGGAGTGTTGGAACTTTGGAACCTGGGCACAAATACCTTGGGGGGGGGGGGTTGCTATAACTTCAAATGGTCACTAAGTGACCAGTTGTAATTTGAGGACTACCTGTATTTGACATCCCCCCTCCAATGTTACACCTGTCCTAAACTATTAAATATAGCTCTTAGCTATAGTTTCCCCACCTTGCTTAATTATTTTCAGATTTGCTAATTGTCACTTGCTATTCCTACAAGGCAACCTTTCACAATCTTGAGACCCTCAAGGGTAGGGATGGGTAACTGTGGCCCCTTCACAGCCTGTGGACTTCAACTCCCAGAATTGCTGGCTCAGGAATTCTGGGAGTTGAAGTCCACAGGTCGCCAAGGGGCCATTTGCTGCTCACCTCTGTGACAGGTTGATTTAGAGTGCTATTAGTAAATGAAAACTGTATTTTTCAACATTTTGGGAGGGAAAAAAGAACAGTGGATTACAAGGCAAGGCAGAAAAATACATGATAGCATCTTCCAGTGGTGGGAAACCACTTCTCTATATCTGCAACTGCGGAACTACTAAAATAAACTTCTGTAATTCGGGGAAGATCATGACTAATAGGCCTGAGGAACAATGCTGTTTTGAAAGAGAAACAGGTATGGGTCACCGCTTTCAAAAATGTGCTTGTTTTGTCAGTCCATACTATACATTAACTACATATGATATATCTATATACAGCTATACATAATTAGTATCTGCCTCTATTTATATCTTTGCTGTTGACCCCATTCTTTTTTCCCTCCATTTGTAAAATTTATTCCAGGTTCGATAAAATTCTGATTCTGATTTTTTAGTCTTTTAGTTGATGTATATCAAAGACGATTTACCATGTTCAATGTTTTTAATCTTTTTCCTTTCTTTTGTATTCAATAAAAAAAATGTGCTTGTTTTCAGAGCTTTCTGAAAGTTTGTACCTTCAGTTTCAATGCGGGGTTCGGATCCAGCTTGGTTTTGCTGCAGAATTCTCCAATGTCATGATCATCTACACAAGAATTGTAAAGAAGCCGGCTGAAATTACCGTTTGCAACGCTTATGTCACCGATTTTCCCTTTGTAAGTTTAGTCTCAGAAGACGGCACCTTTGTTGTTTGGAAGACGATATGTACAAAACAGAAATATCTTGCTTTAAACATGAAACACATTTGGCATGATAATAAAGCAGGAGTCCCCAAACTTGGCAACTTTAAGACTTGCGGACTTTAACTCCCAGAATTCCCCAGCCAGCCATGCTGGCTGGGAAATTCTGGGAGTTGAAGTCCGCAAGTCTTAAAGTTGCCAAGTTTGGAGACTCCTGATCTAAAGGATGAGAATGAAGGAGAGGGGGTTTCAAAACCTAACCACCTCATCATTTTCATTTTAATGCTTTCAATTTCCACAGGAATTGGATGTGGATCCGAAAGAGGCCAATAAAGGAACTCCTGAGGAGACCGGCAGCTATTTACTTTTAAAAGATTTGCCCAAACACTGCCTCTACACAAGAATAAGTTCACTACAGAAGCTAAAGGTAATTACTTGCAGGCAAATTGGGTTTGCTTTCTTATATTTCTACATCCCCTGAGTGGCAGCAATGCTGTTCAATTATTGTTTTAGACCAGGGGTCTTCAAACTTGGCCCTTTTATGACTTGTGGACTTCAACTCCCAGAATTCCTCAGCCAGCTGATCTACCATGAGTAGATTTATTTCTTGATTTAATTTTCCATGGAATGTCTCCCTCTCAAAGCAAATTATTTCTGTGAAATTCATTTGTTTGTCAGGTTCTATACGTTCTCTAGTGGAGAGCAAGCCAGCATAAGACCATCATATCTATTTCTAATATCTAGTGCAGGGCTTTCCCAACCTGGCAACTTTAAGACTTGTGGACTTCAATCCCCAGAATTCCTCAGTCAGCATGGCTGGCTGAGGAATTCTGGGAGTCGAAGTCCACAATTCTTAAAGTTGCCAGGTTTGGAAACCCCTGTGCTAGACACGGTGATGGCACAACATTGGAAATAGATGGCCAGCATCATTTTTTTTCTTTTTAAGGTATCCATCTTGTGAATTTCATGATAGAAATATAGAGATGTTTGATCACAATCATCATGTTCTGAATTACATTGAATGCCTGGCAGCAAAAAGCTATCATTATTAATATATCTCCCTTTAAATCATAGGAAGATTTAACGTTCACTGTTTGTCTGCATTATGAATACATGGGACTTGAGGACGCTGTGGATGAAAGAAAGGTGGTTAACATCGGCAAGCCGCTGGTTGCTAGATTGCGCATTCACCAAGGATTTGGCAAGTGCAGCTGCTTCCAGAGCTGTTGTTTGCCTAATGACACTTCCTCCGCCCAGCCACTGGCCACGGAAGCAGCTGGATTCTGCCCATCTCACCTTAATCAGCCACATTCTTACACAGGCTTTGTCCAATCAAGTCCTTCTCTTATAGAAAGCCTGAGGCAGCCGCCCAGATGCCACTGCTTGATGGTGCCAGATAGATTAATGGGATGGCAGCCAAAATGGTCACACTCATCCGATTCAGACCTGAGCAATATTCCTGTGGAGACCACAGACGAACTCGAATCTGATTTCTCCGGAAGTTTAAAACTATCTCATGAGCCTTAAACAGGTTTTTGTGTAGGTTGGCGTAGCATTTTCAATGGCACTGCCCTGGAATGAAATTCTAAGGCCTGGTGACATCTTTGCTTGGATCCATACATTGGGCTTACGGTATTGGCTGAGGGCGAAAGAGATTTAAAAATGTTTTTAGACAACCGGAAATTCATGTTGCAACGTTCCCAGGTATTAGCTACCTTGTGAGGGGAAAGATGAAAAACAATTTGGTGAAGGTAGACTAGGTTTCTGCGGGAAATGATTCCCTAATAACCCAGCACGTTGATTGTCAGAATAAGCATAAGCTAAGCACAGGTCTTTAAGATACAGAATTTTTAATGTGCTGGCTGAGAGGCCTACAGGAGCTCTGATACCAGGCAGTGAGGAGAGGGAGAGTAGCAAATAGGCAGAAAATCAGGCGATCCCGATGGGCAGAGCAGGCATACGTGTAAGCAGCGTTTTGGGAGGAAGAAGCAAACTGGCCTATTACGGGGTCTGAAAAGAAGCCATCACAGAATGATCTTACAATCCAAAGAAGTGGATATTAAAGGAAGTTAAGGGATATGCAGCACCAACTTCCTTTGCTCTCAATTACTGCTGAGGCAGTCAGTGCGCAGGCCAGTTAAATGGCGGCGGCAGTTGAGTAAGAAAATTGGCATGCTAAGATCTGCCCCCACCCTCCTATCCTTCTGCAAGAGCCTGCTGGCTGGCCCGGAGTCCAAATGGAAGAGTTCCACTCTGGAAATGGCTGACTCCACCTCCCTCCCTCCTTGTTCTCTGCTATCTACTTGTCATCTTTCTTTTTTGGTAATCTTATAGTTGTACAGGTAGTTCTCGACTTACGACCGCAATTGAGCCCAAAATTTCTGTTGCTAAGTGAGACAGTTTTTAAGTGAATTTTGCCCCATTTTGCAACCTTTCCTGCCACAGTTGTTCAGTGAATCATTACAGTTAGTAAGTTAGTAGCAGTTGTTAAGTGAATCTGGCTTCCCCGTTGACTTGACTTGTCAGAAGGTTACCAAAGGTGATCATATGACCCCGGGACACTGCGACCGTCATAAATATGAGCCAGTTACCAAGCATATGAATTTTGATCATGTGACCATGGGGATGCTGCAATGTTTGTGCGAAAAACATCATAAGCCACTTTTTTCAGTGCTGTTGTAACCTTGAACAGTAACTAAAAGAAGTACCTGTAGTCTACTTGTATTTCTCGTGGTGTTCTCTTTCACTGTTTATTTTATTGTTCCAATATCTTAACTTCTGTTCACACTCTTCATTTCTTCTTTTTTATTGTTGTAAGCCACCTAGAGTAGCCCCACAGTGAGATAGGCGGCAAATAAATTTAACAAATAAATAAATACGTAGGCTAGTGGTCCAATGAGATAGGGTAACTGGCAATTGCAGGGGGGGGGAAGCAATGTGCTTCAGACTTGTCCTTTTTAAAAAAAAAATGTGTACTATCAAGTCAGTGCCAACTCTTATTAGATTTATATCCCTCATTTCATTCAGAAATTAAGGTAACATACAGACTACTCCTTCCTCCCATTTTCCTGCAACAGCTCTGTGAGGTGGGCTGGACTGAACTTCCATGGCTGAACCCTGGCCTTTCTGCTGACAGACAATACCTTAATCCTTATACCATACTGGCTGTGCCCGCCCCTCCCAAAATGATATAATCATGTAAACACCAACTTTCTCCAGCATGAAAGATGTAGCCTCCACCGATGGGTTATCAAAGCCTTCCTGCTCAGTTTAGACTAAGACCAAACTTTAGCCACGCCTCCCTTGGGCGATCCTATCCCAGTTTTGTCTTAGTCTCAGCTCAGTAGGACACAACTTTGTTAAATAAATAAATAAATATATATATGTTTGTTTTTTATCCAATTGTTAGCCGCCCTGAGTCCGCAAGGAGAAGGGCGGGATATAAATGTAATTAATAAATTAATAAATAAATAAATAAATAATAAAAACTCCTCAAATAGCTAATTTAAATAGTCAGATTTAGGATAGAAAAGTTAGAAATTTTCATTTAGTTTTGTTTTTGTTTTAGTAAATTGCTGTGCCTAGTGATCTTAAGGAGATTTCAGGCAGTTTGGGAACGTTTGTCCCTGGGGCCTGCGAGGCCTCGAGGATCGCTAGGAGCTATGCCGCGGAGTAGCGGCTTCAGCTCCTATCAGCTATTTGGTGTTGCGACGGGAGTTCCCCGAGCGCCCGGGAAGGCTCCGGAGGATCGGGCCGAACGACCAAGCTATCTCCTCCTTGCCTCGTGGCCACGAGGCTCCAGAGTCGTTCGGGACGCAGTTTGCCTGCGCAGCAGAAACGCAAGTGCCTGATTGCCTTATAAATAAAGGGGGGGAGATGAGGATTATTTAAGCTCCCTTGGGCTCCCTGAACGGACGCAAAGAGGACTTGTGGAGGCTTAATTTGGGATCAGTCTCACAGGCGTCGCCACTTTAGGCGCCAAGGAGACTCGCGGCTGCCATTTTGAATCCAGTGCTGGGTGTAGTCGCCATTTTGGAGAGGCCTACATTCAAGACTCAGGCCGATTATTACAATAGCCTACTGTGTTGGGCTCTCAGGAGGGTTCATAAGACAAACCTATTCCACCTTTCTCATAAGGATTCCATAAAAGGGGGGGGTGTATTCCTTATTCTGCTCCCTGTGGCATCACTAACAATCATTTTCTCACAAGTTTTAATTCTGTGGGTGAAATTAACAGACCTGTTCTCATTAGCTCGCGGCGCTGTGCCAGCTAGGCCTAAGCGGACAGTTTTAGGGAGCTGTCTGGCTGTTTGCCATTGTGGTTGTCTTAGGGCGCGGGAAGCTTCCCTCCCGGACAACTTGATCTGCGTGTTTACCCCCATTCCAGGGCTTCTCCTATCTGGAAGGTCCAGTGCACAATGGCAGACGGTGAAACTCCTCAGACTTCGCAGGGTTCTGATGTTCCCCCCGCACAATCTAAATGCAGATCTTCTGAATTGAGCTCAGGGGGGAAAAAAAGGCCAAAACCAAGCATTTAACCAAAGAACCCTCCAAGGCTGCTGAGCGAGAGGCATCGAGGAGACATCAGGCACTGGAGAAAGAATTCTCCAGAGCTCAAAGGCTCAGGTCCAGCGAACCTGAAGTGGTTCCCCCTGCTTCTCTGGACAGTTCACCATTTGAGCCTCCACTAGTGCCGTCTTATCAAGCCCCCAGAGCTTGGTCTCCTCAAGGGGAACTGAACAGGTCGCTCACCCTCCTCCCCTTCCAATTTCTCCACCTTCCATCGCCCCACAGGCTTCTGAGGCCACCGCATCTGGTGTTGCTCACGCAGAACAAACCTTATGGGCACAACAATTCAATTCTTTCATGCACCAGGCCTTCAACCAATTTATGGCTTCTTCCATGAGTCAGGGGCTTTCACAGATTCCATCCCCTCCTCCTCCACCCTTGTCCGTAGGTCGCACTGGACAGATCCAGTCAGCGGGCTCGGGTATTTCTGAGACTTCGTCTCAACTACGTGAAGCTGAGTCTGTGGACTTGGAGACATCTGACATCCCCATGTCAGAAGATGAGGAGGTGGCACCGGATCCGACTCCCAACATCCGGTCTTTTTGATCCTTCTCTATTTAGGTCACTATTGTTAAAGGCCTGCGCCACAGCCAATCTGGTCACAGAACAGGAACCCAAACCATCTACTTCCACTGCACAGGAGTCAAATCCTCTGTTTGCTGTACAGGTGGTTGAGGAAAAACAGGTTCCTTGTCCAGCTGTTTTCGGCAGGAGGGTCTTGCAGCAGGTAGTTTCTACTCACGAATCACATGCCTAGACTTCCCTCCCGACAGGGACATGGGTGGCTTTGGTATGTCCCATCGGTGGAGGCTACATCTTTCATGCTGGAGAAGGGGCGTTGTCTTACCTGAACGCCTTTTCTCAGCATGAAGATGTAGCCTCCACACCCACCCTTAACAGTTGGTCTAGGCAGTTTTCTTACAGGAGGAGTTATTGTGTCAGACCTCATGAATGCTTCGCCTCGTCAAAACTGGGATAGGACCACCCAAGGGAGGCGTGGCTAAAGTTTGGTCTTAGTCTAAACTGAGCAGGAAGGCTTTGATAACCCATCGGTGGAGGCTACATCTTCATGCTGAGAAAAGGCGTTCAGGTAAGACAACGCCCCCTTTCATTTCCTGGGTGTATCCATTATGCTAAGTCATTGTTTATTTTAAACATAGTCTGTTCAATAAAGCCACAATGACCATTAGGGTTTATAATCATGGCTTCAATCAGAATAGAGCTGGAAGGGACATTGGAGGTCTTTTAGTCCAACCCCCTACTCAACCCTCTGCTGCTTACAAAACCCATTTTGAGCTTGTGTAGTTATGATTACTTTTTCAAAAGGCAACTGGACTACTTTTGTTTTTCTTTGAGGACATTTCACTTCTCATTCAAGAAGCTTCTTCAGTTCTGAGTTCTGAAAAGGTGCTTCTCAGTTCTGAAAGGTGTTTCTTCAAAAGGCAAATGCAGTTGCCTTTTGAAAAAGCATCTTTGGGACAGCCATGACCTGGATGACTCTCCATAGACATGTAGCTATGATTGTGTATATCAAGTAGGTGCCGCCACTTAGTGATAACGTAGTTCAGACATGTCAAACACAAGGCCCGGGGGCCGGATGCGGCCCGCGAAGTTTCATGTGGCCCGCGAAGGCATCCTGGAAACAGTGAGGGAACGGCCCTCGTTGCCTTGGCCCTGGCCCAGGCCGGCCGGGAGCCAATGTACAATTTTGTGGTGGGCATCTATGCTGAAACGCATTCAGTCTTAGCTCCACAAGGCCGTCTGGAAATAGCGAGGAACCAGCCCCTGCTGTGTCGCCCCCGCCCCCTGGGTGCATGCTGGGGAGGTGTCACCCTTTGTGAGGAATGAAGAAATGCATCATCACCTGGAAGTGATCCTGGTCCCACCCCCTTCTGCCAGAGACCCTCAGATCTGTCCCACTCCTGCCCAGGCCCCCACAGGCACCGTTGACGCGAACGATGTAGAGCTGGCCACGCCCACTCCATCCATGCCCACTCAGTAGGCTGCACCCACCCTGGCCACACACCCCCGCCCGCCCCCCCCGAGGGCAACCGCAATGCTGATGCGGCCCTCAAGGAAATTGAGTTTGACAC